CCTTCTATGTCTAAGTCTTCAAATTTCGCACCATTTTTAGTCACAATAGCAAACTTAACTGGTTCGATGTTCCAAACTTTGCTGACTGAAGACTTTTCAAAATGGTAGAAGTAAACATTCAAATATGTGAATGGGTCTAGTTCTTCTTTAAGTCCTGACATGTACTTGTTTACTGAAATATATTTCGTCATCTTTTCTATCGGATAAAAAAATATTTTTTAAAAATTTACTCAGAAAAAATTTTCTTTGTATATACACCATTCTGAACATCTAAAAGACTTTTGACATTTGCCAAGAATGTACGTTTAGAAGCTGCCATATAACCATATTCTTGACAATATTGTTTATATTCATCATATAAAGACTTTTCATCTAAACACTCAAAGTCGCTTTCTTCTATGAACAGTTCATATACACTCTTGTTTGCTTCTAACAATGTTTGTCTCTCTTCGGTATGTGGAATTTGTCTTGGATTGAACTTAGAAATATCTAATGTCATGAAATATGAGAACAAGTGGTTGTAAAAGTCAGATGTCAAAGTTTCTGCTAAGTCGTCAAAATATTCTGTATCTTGCATATGAGCTTCTGACGTTCTGACAACTACATATCTTCTGTCAGAACTTTCTAACTTCATCGGAACAGCATTGTTTGAAACCATGACGAAGTTTGCAACATTTTCACAAACTCTTTGGTCTTTATACTTTCTTTCAACAACTCCAACTTTGTCTGTTATAAGACTCTTCAAAGCATCTGAGTTCAAAACCTTTGTTGTATCTATACTTTGAAGTTCATTGCAAACTATAAGTTTCATATTCTCTATTGAGGAGTTAAACTTGCCACAGATGTTTTCTAAGTTTGTCATATTCGGATTCGAATAGCCCTCTAACAGTTTGCATAAGATATCTGTAAAGAAAGTGTTCTTACCTGTTCCTTGTTTTCCAATTATGATGAGAGCAGTTTCATTTTTAGCACTTGGATGTTGTAAGATATTTGCAAACCAACATAAGGTATACTCATAAACTTTTTCGTTTCCATTGCATATAATTTCTTTGACATGGTCTAACCAAGCTTCTATAACATTTTCTTTCCATTCTACTTGTTCGTATTTATATCCAGTGAAGATAGAATAGAAGTTTGGAGAAGGTGTATAGAACTTTATACTCGAACTGAAAAATCTTCTAACTTTGACAATAAGATATCCAAGCATCTAACATCTTCATTCCAACTTGTACAACTTTTATTTCTTAAGTTTCTGTCTACATTCTTGTTCAGACACTATTGTTGCTCTTGGTTTGTTAAAGACAACATCCATTCTTTCATGACATAACATTCTGGGGCAGAGTCAACATAAATGACTAAACGTTTCAAATTCTCGACTGCTTTGTTATAGTCTCTAAATGGACACATATTTCTGAATGCTTGGAAGTCATAAAATCTGAAACATCTATTCTGTACATTTTTATAAAATAAAAAAATATTATTTTTTTATTCTTGACTTTGTTGTTCCATTTGTTGCATTTGTTGTTCTTGAGCTATTTGTTGTTGAAGTTGTTCTTGTAATACAATACTTTCACCAGTTGCATCTTCCAATTCGAAACTTTCTGCCGTCATTGACAAATACATAGGACATAAAAGTTTTACAGGAACAAAGTTTGCGTCAACTAAGGTTAAGTTTATGTTTGCTAAAGTGTTTGAGTTTACTAAAGCTGAAACTCTGCATTCGAATGAACAATAGGCAAACCAGCAGAGAAAGTATTGTTTATACGCATAAGTATCTTTTGGTCATAATAGTTTCTGTCGACATTCGAATAACACTTTGAACCTAAGTTTGAAACAATATATAAGATTGGTGTGCTTAATGTCAATGGAATAGACATTCCTTGTATGACACCTTTTCCTGTTATAGGAAACTGTTGGTAGTAAAAACCAGAAATAAGTTTTGTATTATAGCTCATATCGTTTATAGTAAACTCAGTCGGACATCCAAACATAATGAAACCTGCTCTAGTTGCAGCACATGTTACACCCGTACTTAAAGTATTAAATAAGTCAACAAAACCTGTCGGTGGTATATCCGAGTAAGTATCTTCAAAGGAGTATTTTTTACCATTCACAACAATAAAGTCTTCTGGTGTCAAAAGAGCAAAACAGGCTTTAGTCGTCATTGTGTTTAAGGTTAGTTTACAATACCGTCCTTGAGGACTTTGTAAGTTTGTTGTTATAGAATTATATGACTCAGGGTTTTTAGTCGTAATAGTATAAACCATTATGTCTTCTGCCATTTACTTAGCAAATAAATTTTAATGAAATTTTGTGGTCGTCAAATATTTTATAACGTCTGGGAAACTATATTTTAAGTTCAACGTTTCACCTCCTTTCATAACGTATATCTTGTCAATGACATTATATGAAACAACAGCAACTAATGTCGGGTTCTATTTCTTTGATGTTTATATCGTCTGCCTCTGTCAAAAGTTTCAATAGTTCTTTCAAAACTTCATGAGGTGCAATGACATATGAGTTCACTTTTACAGGGTTGTGTTCGACCAAGTTTAACATTATACTTAAAGCTTGACAAATCTTCTCTGAGTTTGAAGTTTGTCTTTCAGTTGTTGGTAGTCGTTTCGAATATCTGCAACAGAACTTAAGTCTCTGTTAACTTCAGGATATGTTTTCTTTTACAGGAACAATTGTTATACCATCTTCGTCTTCGTATGGTTTCCCCACTTCAACATCTCTGTCTTTGACATTGACAACAACACTTTGACTGTTTGTTTGAGTTGGTGAATTTAACTTCACATCTGCACCGCCATTAAACCTTTTGAAACACTTACGCTTCTATTTTCGGAAATGACATTTTACTTAGAATAAAAAGATGGACGTATTCGGATATCTTATTGAATTGAAGCAGAACAAAGTTTATACTCACAAACAATACAAATACATTGACAGAATAGTTCTTTCACAAACATGGAAAATGTTATAGAATAGCAGTCTTTGCTGAACCTAAATATTTTCATAAAGCAAAGAAAGTTGGTATAACTGAAATGGTGAAGTTCTTGAAGCAGACAAAATATAACTTCAAAACTTACAGATATTACTAAAGGAAAGTTTATAATACAATATTATGTCAAAACTGGCGTACTGTCAATATTTGACGGAGAGAAGTCAGTTCAAGAACAACTTACTGACCTGCTGCCAAAATCTGCTCGATGGAAGCTGTCGTTATGCCAATCTGAGGAGCCCCAGCAGGTTTCATCGAACGAATCTTCAAAAGAGCATCTTCCGTGAAAAGTGCTATTGGTTTTGTAAACTTCTTTGCTTTCAATTCATCTGGACCGTCTCTGTCACCAGTATATTGTATTTGTACAGTACCAACAGTTGAAATACCACCCATAAAGTTTCTGAGTCAGCAAATGGAATGCCAAGCCAAAAGTTTGAACGGTCTCCATTTGTATATTGAGTTTTTTGACCTCCTGTATGAGTCCATACTTTCACATATGGCATAATAGAACTTTGCATTTCAGGGTTAATGGTTGTTGTGAAGTTGTTGTTAAAGTTCATAGCATCTAATGTCAAGTTGTATGACTCTCATATCCTCAACTGTAGATATTCTTCTCTGGATAATATTTGCCATCTATGTTTATATGATATTTAATACCAGGGTTGTAGAAACAAGAATAGTCATTTATAGTTCGTCTGAACAGTACAAACATAGTATCTGCATGTTTCATTGCAGTTGTTAAAGCAATATCTGTTCTTGCACCTGCAGCTCCTGGATTTTGGTTTCCAACTTCACCTGCAAAGTCTTTGACAGATATTTGGTGGTATAGGGAACATAAGTGGAACTGCAATATATTTGGCAGCTAAAGCATTTGAAATATCTGGGTCCAACATATAGACTGCAAGTCTGCTTTCTATTCTCTTGCATTCAAACTGTTCACATGTAAACTTAACTGGGTCCAAGCAGTTCCAGCAGCATTGAAATAATAGTTTACTTCATTGTTGAAGTTTGAGAAACCAAAGTCTAAGTCAACTTTGTCTTTGCAAAATTCGGCGAATGACGTTTGATTTTTCCCTTTACATCTGTAATAGTGAATGGGTCTTGTGTTGGTGCAATGACTAAGTTATTTTTGCTTGGAGTAAGTTCGATAGAAATTTTTCCTGCCCAGTTTGGCAAGTATCTTAAAAACCTGAAGATGAGGAAAGATGACAAAGGAACTCTAAGTTTCAGTTTTACTTTAGTGGCAGCAGTTCCATCTGAACCAGAAAGGTTAACATAAACTCCTGGAACGTTAGGGTCAAGTCTTTCTTATTTTCTCAATAGTTGCATACTGGTCTGTTTGTTCTCTAGCTTGTGGTTGTACTGAGTTTCTCAAAGCGAACCATTCATAGTTTTGCCCATGTTACTGTTTGAACTAAGTCAGAGTTAGAATATATCTTATATCCCATGAAAACTTCTGGAGCATATTGGTATCCGACATAGAAAATTCCATTGCAACCTTTCTTGTCAGACAACTTGGCAGAAGGTTTTATTTCAATGTCTTGTTCCACGTATAAGAATGAGTTGTCAATAGAAATAATATGAACCTGTCGCAAGCAATATCTACTGTTGTTGAAGAACCTTCTCCAAACTCACATACGTTTCCATAAGAAACAGCAGTTGTATATTCGTAAGTTCCAGGAACTATTTCTGACCTTCTAATGGCATTGTCGCATTCGTTATACCATTCGGAAACATTTCCGTTCATGGCATCCAAAACTGTTGGCGTTATATTCTGAGCGGCGTACATTTCATATGGGTAAAAATATAGAATAGTTGGATTTATGTGTCATAATAGAACCCACTCGGACCAAGCTTTACTTTCTTCCTGACTGAGTTTTTAACTCTTCTTTTTCCTTCATTGCCACTACTTTCACTAGATGAAGTTACTTCTTCACTACTTTCACTTTGTTCTACTCTTCTTCTTTGGTGTCGCTTTTGGTAACTTGCCCTCTGCTTCAAGTTGTTGCATCTTTGCCTCATGTTCACCTAGTATGTTGTAAATTTCACGTGTCCTTTTTGCCTTTGGGCTCTGGTCGCCCATCTCAGGTAACCTATATCCTAGAAAGATTTTGTCATAGTTTGTATTTGAGTCTTCGCGTATTGTTTGCATGACTCTTTCCTGAGTTTCCGGTTCAAGCTCTTCAAACAGAGCTTGTCCATATGGAATAAGCTCGTCTCCAAATATATGTTTTTGTAGCCATTCTGGTTTTCTTTCCATGTAACCAATAATATCTTTTGTGAATGGGAAAGCTTTTACCCAATGTTTCAGTCTTGCGTCATTTATTTCTGTAGTTGGTTTTATTTTGTCATGGAACATGTTTTTCAATACTAACATTTCATTTGGTACTGTCCATTTGAGTTTTCTTAAATATTCATCCATTCTCGGTTCATTGTCTGCAAAGTAAGTTTTTATGACATTTTGCAAACTTTCGTTTGCAAGGTCATGTACAATAGGTTCTCTTCCTTCTCTCTCCCTAACTTTCTTTCTAAACTCTTCACCAAATATACTATCTCTATGGTTCTGTGTAGTTCTTTGAGATAAATGTTCTAGAACGTCAGGTGTTATATTTCCCTCAGCCTATAGATACAAGATGATGTGAATTTTGCATCCCTGGGATGGACGATACACCCAAAGTGTCACCTTTTTGGGATAACAAAAATTTATATATATGAGAGTTCTGCAAATCATATGCACAATATCTATTCTGCCTGACTTCTTGTATATAGGAGTCAGGCCGAATAGATATTGTGCATGTGGCAATATAAGTATTTCCGAGATTGCCATCGTGCGCTATAGTACACTACTTCTCCTTGGTCCTAGCTCGGTTCCAAGGATATCAGTGTTCAAGGATTTGGCAAGGTCCTTCTGAAGTCTCTCATTCGATGAGAGATTTCGGAAGAACCTTGCCTTAGAGTATTCCAACTCTTGTTCTCTTGTCCCTGAATAGTCAGAAAAGCTATTTGACTACTTAAGGCAGAGATTATCCGAGGTCCCTCATTTGATGAGAGGCCTCGGATAATCTCTGCCTTAAAGTTGTACACTTATAGTCCATCAGAATGTAAGTATACACGGATAGGACAGCTTTCTTCTGAAGTCTTAGATTTGATGAGAAGCCTCAGAAGAAAACTGTCCTATCTGATAATAAAAGGAGTTTCAGAAGCTCCAGAGCTCCCTTTCGTAAGGAAAGGGAGCTTTGAAGCTCCTAGTTCGAAGATGTGCTTCGCATCTTTCATCAGTATAGGACATTTACCATCTGGGACTCTGTTGATGAAGACTCAGGAGCTCCAAAGCTCCCTTTCGTAAGGATTAGGAGCTTTGTAGCTCCTGAAGGTAAGGTAGGATTGCTCTGATCTCTAATCAGTAGATGCCATGCCTCATTATGGACTCTACTGACAAGAGATCAAGAGCTCCAAGGACTCCCTTTTTAGCTAGTGGCATTCTCACCATTTAGTAGGATCGCTGATTCTACTAATGAAGTGATCACTTAATATACGTTTTGAATAAATTGAATTTTTTACAAAAATTTAGTATTTTTTATAAACATCACATATATATTATAAATACGTAAATATATTCTTTAATTCAAAAAATTCAATTCGGTTTCGGGCTGGGTATCCCAGCCCCAAGTATTCAATTTTATTCAATTTTTTTAGAATTTTGGGTTGGGGTGCCCAGACCAAAACAAACTTTATATTTTGATGTGTAGATGCGTATGTGTACATCATTATTGCGTTATATATTATATTTTTAATGAAAAAAAATCTGATTCAAAAAAATTATCACTAATTAGTTGATAATATAAAGAAAAAATATATAAATTGTATGTTTTGAGAGTATTTATCCACATTCACTCATATGAATTTCATTAAATAGTGTCTTTTTACTCCAAAATTTATTTTGAATTATTGAAATCAAAGAAAAAAAAACTAGAAAAATTTCTCGAAATTTTTATTTTTAAAAAAATTTTGGATTTTATATTAAAAACTGACACTGGAAGGACGATAGGGCTGGGATTAGAGATACCCCGCTCACTTGGGAAAAATATGGATCTATACTCAGCCATGTTCATTTCATACTGGTCCAAAATATCTGCATCTTTCATATCTTTCAATGGCATTAAAGCCGCGCTGAAAATACCCGTTATATCTGGTTCACCATTCACTTCCATTGCGTCTACAACTTCTTGGAATTGTGGTTGTAAGTTTATGAACCACCTATCCGGATTAGCTTTATGACCCCATTTCATTGTAGTTCCATAGTCTGCAGAAACAAAAGTAGGTTTGTTTCCATATTGGCTAGGTTCTGAATGAACTTTAAACAATGTTTCATTTCTATATGTTTTGTTGAAATTTAACCTTTTATTTTCACCGAGTTCAGCCAAAGATTGAACGTTATATGGTCGTAAGTAAAAAGGATTATTGTATTTGCGTACATTTTCTTTCAGTACTTCCATTCTATGCTGAATATTTTCATCTGATGTTGGAGTCTTTTGTATGTCGGTGAACATTTTTCGATATTCTTCTACTATGTCAGCCGAATTTTTCTTAGACTCTTGGAAAGATTCCATATTCACCTCATACTCTTGTTGAGGGTCAAGATTTTTCGGCTGTTCCAAATCTTCATCTAGTTCTGTGAAGTTAGTTTCCAAAGGAGGGACTTGTTTGTTTCCTTCAGGCTCTTCTAGCTGTTGTTGCTGAACTATTTCTTCCATGTCTGGTTGTATCTGAACTTCTTCCTGTTGAGTTTCTTGTACCTCATCTGCTGGCATTTCATATATTCCGAGACCGTTTTTAAAAAGTTCCCTATCTAAGTCATCCGGACTCATAAACCTTTCTTCTTTCGTTCCGTCTCTATTTTTTACGCGTTTCATGAAGAGAGTTGAATTATCATTTAGCTCTGACATCAAATATCTCGGAGTAAATTCATCCATGTCATTTGGATGATGTGCTATTAAATCATATCCCTTAGCGAGCTTGTATTTTCCAGGTTTGAAATTATATCCCATTTGGTGCTGAACCATAAAGCTAAATAGGTTCGGGTCAGTATTTCCTTCCTTGAACTTTTTAATAGCTTCTTTATATCTGTCACTAAAGTCAAGAGTATCTGGGTAACCATAATCTTCCTTAAGCATTTTTAAGAATTCTTGGTTTCCTTTTTCTCTACTTCTTTTATGTCCTTGCTCTGTTTGTGGTTGCTGTGCTGGTTGTGGAGGTGGTTGTTGTGCAGGGTTTTGAACTGTTGGTTGCTGTGTTGGTTGTTGTTGTTGTGGTGCTGGATTTTGAACTGTTGGTTGCTGTGCAGGGTTTTGAACTGTTGGTTGCTGTGCTGGATTTTGAACTGTTGGTTTTGGTTGTTGTTGTGGTGCTGGATTTTGAACTGTTGGTTGCTGTGCAGGGTTTTGAACTGTTGGTTGCTGTGCTGGATTTTGAACTGTTGGTTTTGGTTGTTGTTGTGGTGCTGGATTTTGAACTGTTGGTTGTTGTGTTGGTTTTGGTGCATGCCTGTGTCTGTGTCCATGTGACGATGTAAATGTTTTAGGTAGTCCTGGTGCAGGTGCTTCTCTTGGAGGGTTTGGTGGTATATAAGTTCCACCAGCTGGCACATATGTTCCATCTGCAGCATAATGTCCTACCTGACTTTTCGTTTTTAAGAAAGCATTTACTAGGTCTGTTTTGGTCTGTTGTAACTCTTTTTCTTGACTTTTCACAACAGTTGCTCTAACGGCGTCATAGGCACTTTGAACTGCCTGTCTCGTTGCTGCATCTGTTATTTTCGTCATATTTTGTGCTACTTCTCTTAACTCTTTGTCGAAACCTTCAGACTTCAGTTTCTTTCCAGATGAGAAGTCGTTCACTAGTTTCACCTTACTATGAAGAGCTTCGAAGGCATTCTTAAAGTCAGCATTCATTAAAGCTTCATTTGAACTGTCTTCATCCGCTTGTATTTTTGTCCTTATTGACCCTATAAGTTGGGCTGCTTTAGCGTTGGCTTGGGCATCTAACCAGTCATTATTAGCTTTTATAATATCTGCGCTTTTCATTGCCTTTTGCATGGCTGTGTCGTTATTTTTACTTTCTTGTGCTAAGTTTTCATACTGTACGGTTTGGTTTTGCAACTGTAAAAGTTTTTCTGCCTTTACATTTGCTTCAACTTCTTTTTTATACTCATCGCTATCCATATATGTCTTCATGGCTTTTTGTTTTATCTCTTCATCTTTCAGTACTTTATATTGAGTAGTATGGTTTTTCAAATTTATAACATCTTGTTCCATTTTTGCTAGTTCTGCTGCTTTTTCTGACACTTTTTTCGCATATTCCTCTGTACTTAGTTCTTTCAGTTGTTCTTCTTTCTTCTTTTTCTCTACGTTTAACTCATTGAGTTTCTTTGAGTGTCTGTCATATTCTAGTTTCTTTTCGTTTTCACTTATTTGTTTCTGTATGTCTATGTTTGACTTTTTGACATCTGTTATTTGATTTTTGAGTGAACTCAAATTCATTTGACTTTGAGGGTTATATGCTGTTCCGTCTGCAGCTCCACCATAGCCTGCCATTTTCGCTAAAAGTGCCGCTCTTAAACCTCCACTCTGTGCACCAATTGCGGCTTTTTAAAAGCATAGGATTGTTTGACATTTGTTGCAACATAGTGGGGTCATTCATCATTTGTTGTTGCAACTGTTGTTGTGGTGTCAGTTTTACTATTGGATGTTTCAATGCTCCCTTCCTCTTACGTATATTCTTACGTAGCTTACGTGGCATTTTAAGTGAAGTTAAAAAGCGGTTTTTGACAGATGTTTATATGACACTTTTTGTTCAGCACAAAAAACTACTCGGTCAAAGTGTTGTTAGTTTTGTAAAATAACCGTCTTATCTCATTCTATAAGGGGGAAAAGGCTTCTCAAAGTATACTTCCTTGGAACGCCGGTAACTTTTCCTGTAGCGACGATAGACCCTTACTTGTCCGGACAAAGTTATACTATTTTGAGTGCTCTACAAAAAAGTCAACGGCGACGACTCTCAAAAACCGTTGTGTAAAAAGTTTTACCGTTGGACAAAAAAGTATATATAGAAAACAAAAAACGTTTATAGTTCATTCAATATTTGAGATAAACCGTTTTTTCCAACGGTAACTATTAAATAAAATAAAAAAATAGAGGGGGTCTCCGTTGACGAAAACGGTTTATCTCAAACTTTTCTATGAGTGGTCCGAAAAAAACAGTTCATTTTTATCTAATGGAAGCCAACGCTGTTAACCACAATTCAAACATTAACAATTCTCAACCGCTAACCAAAGCCAAAGCCCCACAACCTCCAAGAACTGGCACAGCCGTTAGAATAACCACCAAAAAGTCTAACAGCGAATTAAGAGAAATTCTTCAACAAATTTGCTCTAAATATCTCAAAGACGCCGAAGAAAACACACAACCAGACGCTACATACAATACTCAGTTCTGTGAAGTTCTGAACAAAGCAATTACTAGTTCAATTGAAATTACTAAGACAATTCCAAGTCCAATTGAGCTTAGCGATGTCTTAGTTCAGTATTTTCCAACATTTACTAAGCTTATAATGTTGAGAACTTTATACCAAGTTCGTCAAAATCTTCCTCGTTACATCCAACGGTTATTCGACAAGAGAATTGCCGAATTCCAAGTCTTAGTTACGGATATGACGAAGATGAATACGTTGACGAGTTCGGAGACAACTGTACAAAATGGTTTGAATGTTATATGACAACACAATTTGAATTCGACTTTCTCGAATTCAACGCAGCAACCATTCATATCATTGCTCTTTACCTTTCCGAACAACAACAAGACCTCGCAGATGGAGATGTTGTTACTGTCGTCATGAAAACTCCTGAACAATTCGGAAAAAAGAAGTCTCTAATTGCCAAATTCGTTACAGGACATCAGCTTTTCCAACGCACAGAAGTCTTCTGTATTCCTGGAACTAAGTTCTTTGTCAGGAGCGAACTCAAAGAAAGATATAATGTGTCATTCAATTACACATTATATAATGTTTTCGACCCAGAAGAAGGCTTCTTCCCAGAAGCAATGGAGGAGGAAGAAGAGGAGGAGGAAATACAAGACTCTATCCAAGAAGAGTCCTCCGAATTCACACCAGAAGACTAACAATTTTCCGAATAAAAACTTCATTTATACTAAACATCTTCGGGGCTAGAGGGCGCAACGCGCCTGGAAGCCCCACTTACCTGACCTCAATGAATTTTAGAAATTACAAATAATAATATAAGTTAAAAAATTAAATGATAAAAAGGTTTTGAAATAAAGAATATCACATGTTTGAACTTCTTTTGTGAAATATGATATTTCATAATTCTTGAGAGTTTCTATGATTGATCTGGACAAAGAAATTCCTAAAGGAAAAACAAAACTGTTCAAATTGTTTGATTGAGTAAATTCATCTTCAAGAATTGAAGTAATTTCGTTCTGGAATATGAGCGTTTGAATTGTTGGATGATATGAAAAAGATTGAGCTCGAATTTTTTTGACATTTTTTGGCATATAATAAACTTTAATCTTTTTGGCCCTAGGGAAACGAATAAGCTCTTCTTTATTTTTGGAAAATAAAACTCCATCTACAGATGTGAAATATGCATTATTTTTATCAACAAAAATGTTTTCCAACTGAACCATCATTGAAAATGGATCTAATTCGTGAATTTTTTTAAGAGATTGTGGTAAAGTAAGCTCTTTAACTGGAGTATTCAGAATTATATTGTAATAAACAGAAATTCATCAAAAGTGACAGCTCTCAATTTTTTGACATTTGTAAATTCTAAATTGAATGAGAAAAATGAAATAATACTAAGCATAATACAATATTCTAGATTTAATTATAATTAGGGAAAAGTTAGTTTTGAGAGTACTTTTCATAGGCATATAGAATGAAATCTTCTGAAAAATAATATCACATAAACTCATATTATTTTCTAATATATAACTATTTTATATAAAAATCAAATTCAATGATCTTAAAAGCGAAGGATAAACCTCAAAATTTACGAATATAATGAGTGGGAATATAATGCTTATCTATCATAAAACCATATGAAATATTAATTTTTGCTTTACGCCTAATTTTTGACGACAATTAGCAAAAATGTTAAATGTTAACACTCAGTCCATTTGAATATGAAAAATAAATTTGACTTTGATTAAATGTTTTTATTTATCATGCAATTCTTCTTGCGACCAAAGATTTGAATAAAAGTTCAAAAAATAAGATAGCTTAAAAAATAATATACGGTAGTGTTTACTAATAGATGAATAGTATATAAATTCGAGATATAAAAATTGCTCACATTTGCTCACATTTTGGCACTTTTTTGTACGTTTGTCAAAAAAATTGTGAGGAAGATCTCACAAAAATAGTCAAAATGTGAGCAAATTTTGAGAAGTGCTCACATTTTGACATACGATTATTTTCATACGTTTTTTTGATGAATTCTAATAAAACTTCATTACCACTTTCAGAACGAAGCGTAACTTTTCAGCACGTAACGCTCTATCATGTGTAGTGACATATTATTCAAAAAAACTCAGATTGCTTATCTTATAATAACAATTTCATTAGAAAAAATGCACGATTTCACGCTAAAACTTTGAAGCAATTCTTAAATTCGGATAAAAAATCGATATGTATTACACTTTAAACTTCAAAAAATGGTTCAAAATTTAGACTTAGTTTATCTTAACAATATAGCAGATTTTAAGCCGAACAAGTAGGAGTAATAGAAATAGCTCTTGAAAATAATTACAATTAGTAATATGTAAGTCAAAGTTCGAGTATTCTAATAAATAAACGTTCCGGATTTTCTTTACTACAAGAATCAATACTTAATATATAGAAGCAACAGTAAAAACTTATTAGAGATTCAAAAAGAAAGTTGACTAAAGAGAATCTTTTTATATAAGTAATTTTATTTTTTTGAAATACGAGATCGAATAAACATGTATTTTATTTTATTACTATAATAATACGTTTTTACATAGTAAGAAAGTTTAGAGACTGAAATGAAATTAAAAATTGAGAAAAAAATAAAGCTTTTCTATAAAAATTCATATTAATATATAGTATAATGATATTACAATTTATTGATAGTTGTGTTAGAAAAAAGGTACATTCACTATTTTTGACAAAATTTTAAATTTTCATGGGGTTGTAAATCTTATAATAACTAGATGAATAAGGAATAAATCCCAGTATGATGTAGTTATTTGTTGTTAATTCGAATGTGTTTAGAGGTAAACTTAGCTTGTGAGATATATATAAATAAAGTGTTAATGCTTTAACCGCTCTTGGTGGAATGACATATAATTTTGTATCCTTATAAATAAATTTAATGTAGTTTTCCATTTTTGTCACTTTTTAAGATCTTACAAAATATAGTTGATTTTTATCACTATTGAAATAAGATAAATAATGTAAGGACTCTAATTTTGTTATAAATATGAATGAAAACAGTAAAATGGATAACTTAAATATATAAAAATAAATATTGGAACAAAGCTATAACAAATTTTCATTCTTATTTATAAATTGATAAACCAAAGTAATACATTTTATTACATTTCGTGTAACATATACTAATATATAGATATTTTTTGAGATAATGTATTTATCTGTAAAAATTGTATGTGATCAAATTTGATTGATAAATTTATTCAGTAATAATAAATTGCATGTACAATATATTATTGTCTTGCCATTTTTTTGCTCATAATAAAAAATCTTTAAAAATGATAACAATAAAAGAGTATTAAGTAAAAATTTATACATCCAAAATATATTTCAGTAACAGCATAATACGCCTATGCTAATTTTTAGTTCTTAAATTAAATAGATGTCCCTAATCCCATAGATATTCACCAAACTTGGCAAATTCTGAACGTGATCTACATATCCCTAGCAAGTAGATCATATTGGTATACGTATCTTGATCAAATAAAAAGAATATTTGTTGAATAATTTCTGTTCAAATTAAAAGTTCTTCAACTTACGGTAAATCTATCTGCCTTAAAAAGTATTACGATATTATGCAAAGTCAATTTTCTCCAAAAAAATATTTGAAGATGATACTTTAAGTATACCAAAAATACAAGAATTTTGAGAGAACTCAATGAATTTTTGTGAAGGTGGAGTTAAATTGAGAAGATTTTTGGTCAGAGAAAAACAAAAATTACTATCTGATAAAATGGTATTAAAATGAAAAAAGTTTAAACAAAGGAAATGAAGAATTTATATTATATTAGAATTTAAAGAGTAAATATAAAAGATTGAAAGAAAGAATAATAATAGGATTCTTGAATGCAACATTTGGAATGATGTTTCCAGTTGTAGATGTGTTAAGCAAAGAGAGATAATGATAGTTTCTTGAGTTTTGAGTTAAGCTTGTTGTAGATGAGAGAGAAATTTTGACGAGACTGAGGAACTTCATTTGGAATGATGTTTCCAGTTGTAGATGTGTTAAGCAAAGAGAGATAATGATAGTTTCTTGAGTTTTTGCAATTAACCATCCTCAATGACTATTGTTTTAATATAATTTTTAAATTTTTTAAAACTGACATTTTAGTTGTATATTTTTTCTAACAAAGGTACATTCACTAGGTGATAACAGTAAAATGGGATGAAAATATGATAAATAGCATCCCTATATAGTGCCAAACAATATTTATACGGGCCAAAAAAATTTGGCTAGAGATTTGGCGAGTTATAAAACTTAGAAAATTGAGAGGGATTTTTATTTTTGAATTTTTTTGGAAAGTTAAAATTGCGATTAAAAATCGATTTCCAGGAGAACTAAGCATCTCATCATATATTTAAATCGATAAAAATATTAAATAATAGTTGAATAGTATAACAACGTGAAATTATGGCTGAATCTACAGAAAAAATGAACATATTTGACATTTTTGAAAATTCATACGTTAGATGGTGACAGACTCATAAACTATACTTTAGCTAAGATTGATATATGGTTTCAACAACACATGGTTAAAATTGTAAAAATATTTTAGATTTCAAAAAGGTATATATGGTAATATAATGGAACAAAGTCAACAAATAGCATGTTAAATATGTTATAATTAACTTTTTATTAGATCCAATAGTAGATATCGAATGGTTTCCAGCTTTATGGTTAAATATTTTCTTTTCGAGCTTCTCTTTAACTGTTGTATTAAGGTTGTAAATTTTTGATGCTAGAAACTATGGAATCTTCTTTGCTGCTGCATTTTTCTTGAGAGTTCTTGCAATTTCGAATAGATCTGCGCATTGTATGAAATTGAGGCTTTAAAATATCTTGAAAACAGAATAGGACTGCTTTTCCAAAGGAATGCTTACTTGTAAATCAGAGAGTTTCAAAATTGAGAGCAAGATTATCATCATAACTTTCGATTTTGCTGCGAAAAAGGAAGACAAGTAATTAACAAATCATTTACTGTTGTTCATCAAAAGAAGAAAACTTTGATAACAACTAATGATGATAAAATCAAGCTATCTTTTAATATTTTAAATTGATAAGACATTCAAAATATTTGAATGGTTTAAAATATTTTCTTTTAATTTCTATAAGATATTATCATGATTATATAATAAAATTTAAATTTTTATTCAAAAAGGCAATATTTCAAACTTTTAATTTCAAAAATCTTAATTCTGCAATAAGTGTATTTAATTGTAGCAAATTTAATGATCCTTCGTCATGC